CGAATACAGCGGTGCGGGAGCGACGCGGGGGCGGGCAACGAGCGGTGCACTCCAGTCAAGCGATGACCGCCCGCGTTGCGCGTCTGCATTGTAGGTATAGTGTTGTAGACTCTAACTCTAAATCACTCTTGATAGTTTCAAGAATATAGTAAAAAATTTCTACACTCATTCTGGTGTAGTCGTAGATTTTGTCGGGATTTTGTATCTGTTCTTCATAATTTCGATAAAACTCGCCATTTATTTTCCTTGCCCTATAGTAGGGATCCACTTCTTCTTTAGCCCACAATAAATCCAGCGTTAGGAATAAATTTGAATCAAAAAGATGTCGCCGTTTTTCAGACATTTCCTTTGCGAATAAAAACAAATATCTCGACAACACAACCACGAACACAACACTACACCGCTATAGTGCCGCGCGATCTGCCCGCTAGTTTGGAGAACAGGTATGCGTTGCCCACCCCGCTGCCGCGCCGCTGGCCCCGCCGCTCCGCTGCCCGCAAACTTCGAGGCAGAGGCGTTACGGCGGCGCTCGCCCGACTAATTAGCCACGGGGCAGGGGTTGGGGGTAGCGACACACGCGTGCGGCGGCGTGGTGTTGTATCAGCACGCCGCCGCACGCGTCCACACTTGGAACACTTGGAACGTGTCCACACTTTATTTATTTATACGGAAATTTGGTCAAAAATTAAGTACCTATTTTTTTACATAATTCGAATGAGAATCATGTACCGAGTATTCTCCTTAAATATTGATAGTAATTCACCAGTCACCCTGTATATATACTAGAAGACCCGGCTAACTTCGTATCGCCCTACAATCAAGAAATATCTGTAACTTTTTTATTTATATTTTTGGAGTTTACCTATTAAAGCCATAAATCAGCGGACAAAATTGTGAATCTAAACCATTCCCAGATCCCCTTGATCACACACAAAAAATTTCATCAAAATCGGTCCAGTTGTTTGAGAGAAGTTCATTGACATACACACTCGCAGAATAATTATATATATTAAGATACATATATATCTGCTATCAATTGGTACTATTCAAATAATAGCTGATGATTATTATAAAATAAAAAACAAAGAGCTTCAATAACAGTTAAATCTTCAGTCAAATCATTCACCAACATCGGTTCCATGGGTTTTTTTCAAAATTATTAACTTCCAGAGGTCTTAATAACTATTCTAAAAATATATTAAATTTTAAACAAAAAACAAACATATGATGCAAAACTATCACTTTTTCAAAATATTGAAGATTTTATATTAAAGAAAATATCTCATGTTATAACTGTAAATCAAATGAAAACAAAAAACGGAGATTATAAATGGGTATTTAATTTACCTTATTAAAAAAACATATATTTGGTCTGATCTGCTTGATAAATAAAATAATGTCTTATTTAATCCTCGTAAATGTAATTGGAACTCCTCCTTTATTTATTTCCTTTAAACAATTGTGTCATAAAGAGTTACTGAAGTTCGTATATTAATTTGATAAAATACCACAATAAGTTCACGAGGCGCAGCAGACGTAGTTTGGTTAAACCTTTTTTATTCAAACTTTAAAGTTAGTAATGATAAAAAATTTGCTCATAAAATTACTCTACGTATAGTTTTATGAAATACATATCAGTATAATATATATTTGGCTGAGCTGAACCAATCTGAGAGCTTTAGAGACGCCACAGCGTCGCCATACTGACACACACATTTATTTGCAGAGGCAAATTAATAGCGCCATTCCGTACATGCACTGCTTCATCATACAATTCAGTAACTAATGATTGCTAATGCGCACTATTTAAGTCACGTTTTTGGATGCTTATAGTATGAAATGGTCGAAAATAAATACAAGAAAGAAAAAGGTTAGTGTTTTATTAAGTTTATAAAATTTACTAGATGTACATACTAGCCAATTACATTATAAAACAGGATAGTAGCTAGGTATTATATATAAGTATCACTGATATTGAGTGAAAAATAATGTTGTATAAAAAGACCAAAATATGAACATAATGTTATTTTGAGATAAATTAATATATCTGCATTAATAAAATTTATTTACGAAAATGGCGGTGGCAAACTTTGCAATTATTTTATAATTTATTATAGAAAAATAGAAAAGCAATGAGCTTAAAGTGTTTTCAAAAATAAAAGTTGTGCACTTATAATAATGTAAAGATACTTGTTATACCAGGATAACTAATTATACCAGTGCCCCCAAAAGACGAAGGACTCCCAGAAGCGGGTCAGCCTGTCGGGGAAGCTGCTGGGAGTGCGAAAGCGATCCCTCGCCTCGACACCAGGGCCGTCGTGGAACACCCTTGGGTTTTTAGTGGGTAGTGGAATCGAGTCCCACATACCCCGCTGTTTTTTAAAATCGGCGGGGATGCGTAAAAGCATTTTTCCCAAGGAGAAAAAAAAGTATAACTAATTATACATAAATTAAAAAAAACGTTGTAAAAGGAATACAATAATGAATAAATTGTCAAATTATATGTATATTCAAACCCAATAAATAAGTAATTTCAGCATGTTTTAGGAAGATTATTCACCTCTGTATAAACATAAGTACTTACATATATATTGTAATTTTCCGTACAGCTCTGCAAGTATACCTATTTTTTTTGTTCACGCGGTGAACATTTTTATACCTACCCCTCCGTTTAGGGGAGAAAAAAGCGGTGCTGTGGCACTCACGGGCCATAAGGGCCCTTGATACCCACCAAAACACCAGCGGTCACCCTCCCTCGCCTCCTGGTGGATCGCCACGAGAATCGCCGAAGCATACATCCGCGATGATCCGGCGGCAGATCCGTGACCGCCTGGCCCCCAAGGCTGTACTAGCAGCCCTCCCCCCCTATGACTGTCGTCACTTCCCGATGCCAGACTGCGCCGCCAGTAGCCGAAGGCCAATACATTGGGCCGAACTTGGCAACGGCGGCGTACACCTCCGAGCCTCGACCAACCCACCCCCATGAGCTGTGCCCCCAGCTCGGGACCAAGACCCCACAAGGAGGTCAAGACCCTCCCCCACCGTGACTAACTGCACCGGAATACACCGGTGGGCGATGAGGTCGTCACGTTCCGACGCCGAATCTGCAAGTATACCTATCATTGCAGTTGCAACAGAGCAAAGTAAAAAAATATATCATTTTGAAATGCATAAAAATGATACCATTGACCTGAACAAAAAGCATAATCTAACAAAGTATTTCCAACCATTCTTTTCTTTTGTATAAACTTATCAATATAGAGTTCTATATATTGTTTCATTCAACTTATTGGTCAAGTTTACCAACGATATAGAAAATTAATAGCTAAGTTTAAGTTACCATAGCCACCAGAACTTCTCTATTAGCTTTATTATTACAGATTTGAATTTAATATATCAGACTATATATAAATTGTGAAAAATATAGTACAAATATACATTATGGGACATATTATGATTTTATGTACTTTCTAAATTTAAAATAAGTAAAAAGAACATTTAAATATTATTCCAAAATTAATCAAAAAAAAAACCATGTGAGATTACTTTAATTTCAATATTGCATGGATGAATGGTGAAATATTTAATAAAATGGTGGAATATTTTAATGCATTAGTTGATCAAAGATGATTATTCACTACAAAATGCGTCTTTTTACAAATTTACAACAAATCAGAATAAAGAAAATGAAGTAGACATATAATAAATATTGTAAATTTTTGAGTTCTCCACTTTTCTCTCATTGGTACTTAAATCAATTTCTATCAGTTTTTTAACTCAACTTTACTTATATTCGTAATTGTTTAGGCTTTATTATACCTATTTCTAGAAAATTTTAAATTACAAAAATCACGAAGAGCAATGGATACTTGTTTTTTTTTTTGCTGAATGCCATTTCATCTAATGTTTATATTATACATTTAAGTCTCTCATTAAATGAGTCCTATGGGTGTGAAAATTCGAAGGATTTCGTCACTACACACTAATCCCTTAAGAACCAACATTAAGTAAACAGATATACTTTTATTGCCAGCACTTTTTAGAAAGCTGGTAATTAAATAAAATTCAGGGACTTAAATACGATGAAACTTTTTTATTGTTTTGCATATTGAGACACAATTAATTTTTTACTAAATAATTTTCAAAATACAAAACTTAATTATTCTGTCTAAATAACTAATGGCAAATAACTTAATTGATTATAAAATAAAAATAATCATATTCGTTTACATAATATTTTCGAGAAAGCAATTTATATAAGTATATCTTATCAATAAGACTTTTAACCCCTTGTTTCTCGACATTTGTTTTATTTACAGACCTCTATTTATTTATTTTGAATTAAATATTTTCGTATTTATTTCTGAAAAATATTGTATGGTAGTAAATTTTTCATTAAAATATTTAATTAAGATATAAAATTCGTGATTGAAATTTTAGTCTTTAAAATAACTACAAAAATAATATCAACATCCCGCCGAGCAAAACGTTAAATTAAAAGTGAAAGCTACAACAGCCGCAAAATTTTTCATATCTGTTGATCATAATTTAAACGTCAAAACAAGCTGTTATCTTTTTAATTAAGAAACAAAACAAATGTAGGCTATCTCGTGACATTTGAATGGAACCAAGGATTAAATAAAATAACAACAGGTATTAAAGGCAGCTGTTGTCACGAACGTGAAAATAAGAAAACTTTAGCTCCTTACGTTGCAATAAAATATGGACACGTAAACAGATAGTCCCAACGAGGTTTTAAAATGTTTATAATAAAGATATTTACATAATCTTTTGTCATTCTAAAACTCCGATTCCTTTGTTTCTTTCGAACAACTTTATTCCAGCAAAATATTCTCCACTTAATTTTTGTGAATTTATAAACTCTTCAATTATTTTTTCCCCAATAAAATGCGGACGCTTTATTATATGTACTAAGGTTATAAGTATGCCTTCCTTAATTTTAAACCTCAATACAGCATAACTTAAAAAAAAATCTTACAATGGTTTCACAAAAGTTCAGGCTTTTACCAAGGTATTATAAACAAACTATGTAGGAATAACACAAAAGTTGCTTAGTAATTAAATCCATCCTACATTAAATTGACTTATTGAATTCCATAAGTCATATTTTATGCGTTTTAGGTAGAAGTCCTCTTTTGAACATATATACGGTACAAATTATGTTTTTCTCTCGTATTATATGTTTCTGTACCGATTATTATATATTTTTTCTAAATATTTAATAAAATATACACGTATAAAAAAATAAGAAGATCGTTAATATAGTTATAAAAGTATATTTACAATTGAAATAACCAGAGTCCAAACGGGAGTATTTTTTTAAATATTGATAGCTAAAACTAAAATAGGTATATCATTTTATATTTCATTGAAAATTTATTTATACGGTCTTATCTAAAATTGGGAAATTCTAAAACCATAAAAACCCACGCAACAAGCTAATGATGCTGTCCACACACCAGTAGTTAGTACATATATACATTTGTAATTTATATTGATTAAAGATCAATAATAAACATTTTTAAAGAATTTATATAAGGTCATTAAATATTAAAATTTAAAAAACTATATTTTTTCTTTTTATTAAAAGTTTGACTTTAAATAAAATAAAATTCACATTATTTTTATTTACAGACAACAAATAATGAAAGATGGTATTATTTATTAATAGATTATACCAACTCAACCTTAATAATCCTCTTTTTATTATATATTTTTTATTCTAACAACTCTGAATTGCAAATTGAAACAATAGAAATAATATTTTGAATAAACCGGAGCCATGGAAATAAATAATATTTTCATAAATGTTGACTTCAAGATATAATCAGTCAGGCTAGAACCGGACTGTCACGGGAGATGAAGCGTCAGTCACACTGAATGGGGACATTTTTAGGCGTGAATTGAAATGAGTGTTTTCCATTTAAATTGTGAAAAATCGTTGTGAGATTTGATGGAGTCTTTTGTAGCGTAAACTACAAATTTTCGTCATGATTATTTAAATTAAAAAATTACAAGTTAAATATTTGTATCCAAGTATGTGTTATAATTATGTACTTAGCCTTTTATTGTTTTGGATAGACAGTCGTGATTAAAATTACCTTTTTTTTTGTTCAATCACATAAAAAAATTTTTTGCGGTCCTTAGGGATGATAGTTAAGATAATTTGTATTAAGTAGACTGTGATAAAAATACGTGTACATAAATACAAAATAATAATTTTTTCTATCCTTGTACGGAAGCTTACATTAAGCGCTGATTAAGTCTGGTTAATTATTATTGGAGATACAAGAGCAAATCCTATTGGTTAGAAAATAATAATATAATTGTCATTGGTTTTCAATGTTTAATAATAATTAATGACTACTAAATACTCCTATTAATTCTGTAGTTTTCTTTATAATATAGATTAAATTCAGTCACTACCTTAAAAATAATGTTTTATACTTTTCTATGGGAGTCTAGTGATGAAAAATATCGTTATATTTAAATCATAATATAAAATATTAGCTTTTGTTGGGCTTAGGCTGTACAGAATTAAATACTCTGACCACAGAAGAATGATACATGAAATTTTTGTTTTTGTAAAATATCATATTGTAAAATATCAGAAACGATACGGTTTTACAACATGTTCTATGATTTCAACAATTTCAATTCTATTACCAGATTAGAGTTGATTTAAAGAAAATTTTTAAATTTTGGAGTATAACTACTTAATTCAATGATATGTAAAACAATAATCCTGGTCTTTACTTAGTGTTTATTTATATTATACATATGGAGAATATAGTTTATATGTATAATGACTGTAAAGAGTGTTCGAGATAATATGCTTTTAAATTGTCTGTCTGGTCCCAATTTCTATTCAGATTAACAAGTGGCTTTTCGATAATAGTGAAACACAAATATTATTAACAAAACTTAAACATGTGTCTTCGAAAACAGACATTTTATCTTAACTATTCCACTTTGACTGCACAATAACAAGCAAATCCTGCAAATTTTTTAATAATTGCCTAAACGTTTACAATCTTCATATCTGCAAGTAAAATGTGATCCCACGTAAAAAATATTAATCTAAATAAAGTGTAATTGCTGTGAAATAGAATTATTGCTTATGATTACTAGTGCAATAATGATAGTTAAGAAAACAATGTTTATTAAATAATAAAATCAATTTAGAACTAACATTACAAGGCTGTCAGCAGTCCACAAAATAGTAAATATCGAAAACAATAATGTTTTGTTTTGGTCTCAAAACAATAAAATCGAATTTTTCCCCATCCAGGCCAAACTATAAATTTTGTATAGTAAGCGCATGTTCAATAAATAATAAATAGTGAACGTCCGTCCCACTCTAGTCATATTCATATCCATCGGTCAGAAAAACTTTTACTAACAAATTATTCTAAACATACATAATTTTTACTTCTTCATCATAAATTAATGCGTATAGAAGTATTTGATTTTTTTTTAATTTAAGACTTATGTTCAAAAGATTTGTTATAATTTCCGACTTTTGATGAAGAAGTTTAAATTATTTTTTTTTAATCTTAGTGCGGAACACTGAAGTACTAAAAGTATACTTTAAAAGCACGAAACATGATTTAAAACGTTTTTAAAAATGTTTAATGTTGTTTGTTTTATTTTATACGCTTTTTTTTGTTATAATGGAATATTTGTTTCTTCTTCGTCTCCTTCTTCTTAGTCGTAACACTCTTGCAAAGTGGTCGTGATCATCACAAGATATTTAATATTTGTTTATAATATTAAAGGAGTCCAAATTTATTAAAAAACATTTTCTTTACAGGCGTAGTTTTCGAACAACACTCCGAAGAGATCCAAGAAGCTTTCAAGTTTGCGATGGTCCAATTGAACACGTTAAACAAAACACGGCTTGATTTTCAACTCTTCGTCGATGTTATTAATACGGCGGATGCATTTAAGTTATCCAGACTCAGTAAGTATAATGAAATTTTATCATATATACATTCATTCATTTGTGTATGCTTCAAAAACTCAAAATTTTCTGCAACTATTCAACTGAAATTTTACATGACATACAACAAAGTTCAAGGATAGTTTTTATCTATTTTTCACGAGACTAAAGTAACCCTCAGTGGGCAAGCTGTCCGAAACAAAATCTGCAAAGGCACTTGACTTACAAGTTAATAATTAATGAATAACATAGTGTAAGTAACCATTTTAATGAGGCTCTTGAAAGTTGAAGATGCTTTAATTCCTCGAACTCCCATGATTCTGCACGATATACCATTTCATTTTAAAAGATTGCAATTCCCAATTCGATTTCCATTGGTATTCATAATTAACAAAGCTCAAAATCAATCTCTAGAATAATGTGGTTTAAATTTAGATGTCGATTGATTTTCACATGAACAAATTGTAAGTTGCATGTTTCCACGTTCGAAAAACAGATATCTTCTATATCTACACAAATAACGGGAAAACAAAAAATGTTGTATACCCAAAAACTTTTGTCGTCTATTTCTGACCCATGCAAGTATAGAGAAGCGTGTCAGGGCACAGCTAGTATACATATTAGAAAGTAAAATGTATTTATCGAATTAAGATACTTGAAACTGTTACATATTGATCCATAAGCCCTTATATCTATTAAAATCCAAGGAAGGAAGTTATTAAAACAAACAAAAAGAAAAGTACTTAAAGCACCCAAATTTCTACAGTCACACAGTGAAGATCATCCAATTGGTATGAATTATATTAACACGAAAGGGTATTTGGTGATAAGTCGCAGAGTTATAACGGGTGTTTTTTCTAGAGGTATAGAACTTTGAAATAAAATAAAACAAAAATGATTTCTTTTATTCATATGAAATATAATATTTTGAAAAGATAATATTCTTTCATTACAATTTAAATAAGATTTCAGGCATATGACCTCCACGACTGGCTCGTACGTAGTTTAATCTGGAGGTCCAATTTTCAACCACTTTTTCCAACATTCGTGACTGTATATCGGCAATAGAGCGACGAATGTTATCCTCCAAGTGATCAACGGCTTCGGGTTTATCAGCGTAGACCAACGACTTTACATATCCCCACAGAAAAAAAAACAAGCGGCGTTAAATCGCATGATTTTGGGGCCAATTCACGGGTTCAAAATTTGAAATTATGCGGTTACCAAATGTTTCTCTTAATAAATCAATTTTGGCACGAGCTGTATGACATGTTGCACTGTCTGTTGAAACCAGAACTCCTGAACACTATGGCTGTTTAATTGATGAACGAAATAGTCACTAATCATCGCTCTGTAGCGGTCACCATTGACTGAAACGTTCTGGCCAGGATCGTTTCTAAAGAAGTACGGATCAATTATTCGGCGGATAGACTGATTCGGGTCTTCTTCTACGCTACGCTCCACAGCAGAAATAACTTCTTCTGTACACACTGTAGGACATCTCTGTGGATGCGTATTACCATTTAGAGTAAATGTAGTGCGAAAACGTTCCATTGTTAATCAAATTAATTATTCTGATGGACGATTATGTGGACCTTAAAATGGACGTAGTGCGCGATACGTTTTTCGAACAGAGCCATGATTTTCAAAATAAATTTGCACAATTTGGAGGCGTTGCTCAGGCGTTAGTCTATTCATGATGAATTGCCAAACCAAATTAAACACAAATCACTGGACAGCTATCAAAATAACTGCCAGTTAAAAAAGTATTGGCAACTTAAAGTTGTATATCTCTAAAAAAAACACCCTATATAAGAAAGTCAAACAAACGATTTTTTTTTTAAAAACCTAAGACATAATTACTTAAGCTAAAGAAAACAATAGGAATGCAACTATTGTAAGGAGAAGCTATTAATCCAGTAAAATATCTAAATTATTAACCTAAACGAACCAATCGAAAGAAGTTCATATGCATGCATCAAAGCAATAAGCATAATACTCAATATTAATAATAATATAATAATTCTTAATTGAGTTCGGAATACTTATTGACCTTGACCTGTACTTTGGCATGGTCTTTGGCGATGTGGGTTTCCCAAGGAACTGTAAGGTCTATTAACACAACGCTCTCTAAAATTCGCAAGTACAGAATTATATATGTCTGATCTGGATGCCGACGTACAAATATCCTCTGGATTCTATATTGTTTCTCATACTGATCTATTTAATTTCATAGCCCTTGGTGCCTTTTCTCACAAAACCTATTGATCGCTCGTTTATGTTTATTTCTTTTACTATGATAATTATTTCTATGACTATAAGTCAGTGGTGGCCTAGTGGTTACAAGGCCCGCCTCTCATGCACTAGGGCGCGGGTTCGATCCTGGTCCGGGCAAGTACCAAGGCGCGGGTTCGATCCTGGTCCGAGCAAGTACCAATGTGATTTTTCCGAGTCATATGTACTTTCTAAGACTATTTAGACATCACTGATTAATGCCGATTCCCAAAAAAGGGTTGATGTCAGGCAGGCGGCGGGTCGTAAAAACAATTAGCCAAAACTATTCACAACAATGTTAAGGCAGACCCCAGGGTCTAGGGCTAAAGCTGGGAAATTGCCAGGTAGAAGAAGAATTATTTCTATGACTATTTTTTCCATCACCCTTGAAATTATGAAGGTTAATGTGATAATCTTGTAAATTAAATGTTTTGTTAGGTCACCCTTCTTAAAGGTAAAGTGAATATTGAATACCTTTGATAAAAACAGAAAAGTGCCTTTGAAGTAAGATAATAAAAAAGAGCTTTATAAATGCCTAACAGAAAGGAGTAATTACAATATTAGTTTATTAATATTTTAAAAGAAATGTTTTACAATAGTTTAATGAACAGTGAAATATCAAGATTATTTTTGAAAGTGTTTACCATACCAGAAAAAAAAGTTACGTCTTAGAACGTTTTTTGTAGGATTTTTACCTAAAATATAAGTTCAAGAAGTTTTTTTTAATAACCACAGATATACCTATTAGCTTAGGTAACTCTTGCTCTATTGCTCTAACTCTTTTTCATGTATAGTTACGAGAGTTAGTTATTTCGCCCAATAGAAAATAAGTAGTTATATAAGTAATATATAATAAATTAACGAAAACCTGCTTTTTATATTAATAACTACTTATAAAAAAAATACAGCTGATAAAAAACATATATTGGTTAATAATGAATCCAAAATCTGAATTTTAAACAATACTTCGAAAGTATTTTTAGTATTGTAGCGCAACCTTGCCTTACATGGCCTTATCTATCGACTTAGTAATATCGAGCACTCAACTCTTATTTTATATTAAACTAGTAAACCCGGCGAACTCCGTTTTGCCACCAGAAGGTTTTGTTTTATGTAGCATTTCGTTTGGTGATTAAAAGAAGAAGAATTTTTTTTGGTTTATATTTGAAAAGGAAATATTTTATTTTATTTCACAACAGAAATGAATTCATTTCGATTATAAAATTGAAGTGTTATTTAGTTGAACTTCACTTAGTAAATGAAAGTGAATCCAAAGTAAATACTGAATCGAAGCGTTATACGTGTCCGCAAGTTATCCATTTCATTGAAGTGCTCTTTGGTTAACCACATTTTTTACTTTATGGTCTAAAGTTAACACAAACAAAGCGGATGATTTCCCAACTCACGAACACCCTAAGTATAGTTGCCCAAGTGAAAAATGAAATAAAACCTGAAATTAAACGAGCAGAGAACAATGAGTAGCTGTCAAACAGTTATACAATTATCTAAAACTATCATGCACTTGCGCCATCTATTTAAAATATTGATTTGTTGTACATGTTACGTATCAGAGATGGCGCCATATGTGAATAAAGATTTTCCTTGAATAAAGCTATATCGATCAAATTAAAATACCTATGGTTTTTTTAAATTTCTTCTATAGAAATGGAGAAGGAAAATTTAATATAATAATATACCCACTCAAACCATAATACTTACACCAAACGAAAGAGTGGTTTCAAGAAAGACAATCTTCACAAAAATAAACCAAAGTTTCACTCCTTTAAGAAAAAAAGAAACATCTTGTACAATTATTTAAGACGGCTTTGGCAATACTCGCAACAAAGAATTTTGGCTGTTTCTTAACAAGACTGTGGCAAATAGTTGCCAACAACTTGGGCATTGAGGTCAGATGACAGCTGCTGCTTAATCTAAAACCAAAGTTCATATTTTATCAAGGCTACGGCAAAGTACATACATATAATCTGATTGATAAATTTAACGTTTAAATAAAATATTCTAATATAACTAATTTCATGTAAGAATATGGTTGGGTTGGGTTATGGTATATCTTTAACATTTTAATTTTTAGGTGCTTAAAAATATAATTGTTGTGGTTTATCAAAAACTAAAATTTATAAGATTACATATAAATGTACTATGTCTATCTTTTGTTCATAGATTTAAACATAATCTAATACTACTTTTACATTAAATACTATATTACATACATAATATGCGTTTGAGTATTAAAATGTTTTAGTATCAAAGACGTTCTGACCAATTTATTAAACGTTATAATAATCATTATTACGTAGCAACGCAAAGAATTTCATAACTGCGTCAAAGCATACCAATAACCATAATTCATCTACGTCTTCAGCGAATAGCTTGTAATTAATATTGCTATAATTATTGCGGAAAGCCATTATTCGTGGACACTGAAATTCGGTGTAATATCTCAGAAAATATATTCTTATAATTCTTTATTATTCTTAATAATTCAAAATATTATAATTTTTTAAAGTTATTCCTAATGATTTTAAATATTAATTATTATTATCTATTGTACGATATTTTAAGACCGCATTTTTTTATATTACCATGGATTTTTATAACACGTATAAAAACGGATAAAGTGAGTACAATTTTACAAGGTGTGGTCGCCAATGAAGAATCTAAAATAAGCTTTAATAAAACACCAAAACATTAACTTTAGCTGTAATTACTATTTAGGGTACATTGAT